GTTAATGATATCTGACTGTATGGATATTAATGAAAGAAGCATCTCCTTCATTAATGTATCAGAAATAGACTGACTAGTAGTAGGAAAGTTAGCCATTGGATCTGAGAAATTACTTGCAGAATGTGAAGTATTAGTGTGAGAATCTGTTACAGCATGCTGTGGGTTAATATCTGTCATTCTAGGTTTAGATTTTGCTGGGCTCTCAATAGAGGAAGTAGAGAAAGCAGGGGAGACAGGCTGCAGTAAGATAGAGCAGTTTTTCTGCTTAACAGGTGTCACAAGAGAAGCTGAAGAGACTTGCCTGTGTGCTGAGTGAGAGGAGGATCCTGAGCTGCTTCTGCCATGTTGGGTATTGCAGGAAACTGTTAATTTCAGGAGTTTACTCTCAGCTTTCCTCTTCTTTGTCATCTCCCTGAGGGTCACCGAGCCGTTGCCTCTCTTTTGGAGTGTCAGGTCCGCCGCTGCTGTGTGCTGGCACTGTGAGCACAGCAGAGCTGTGTAGTTATGCAGCCAGCTTCCGCTCCAGCCACACCCCCCCCCATGCTATTTTTTGACAGATTTGGCTCCCAATGGGGTTTAGGTTCAGCATCCAAACATCTCTGAGGTTTGCCAAACCTTGGAGGATTCATGAGTGCATTACGCATAGAGTGAAGGTTTCAGGAGTGTGTTACACAGAGTGCATTAACCACAGGGTACAGAGTTCACATTATTATATATATGTGCATAAAGCACATTATTCAAAAGACTTCAGAAGAAAGAAGTGCTTTATGCACAGGATGCAGGGGTTCCCATCTGGAAGAAAAATATATTTGAAATATATTTAAAAAATTTTCTTCCCAAATATATTGCCATATATTTGAAATACTACAATTTTGGCCATGTTCAATATATATATATATATATATATATACATACATACACACACACATACACATATACTGCATGTTGAAATGCATTTTTATTACAAAATATATGAAAAATATTTTTAAAAATACATTTCAAATATACTGAATGTCTTTAAAAATACAAATCTACATTTTTGGAATGCATTTACAAATATATGTAAAAATGCTTTCAAAGTAAGCTTGAATAAAATTGGACCTACAAGCCCCAAAAAGACATATCTATTGCGGTGTGAACTCACAGGTGAGCACTACATGCGAGTTAAACAACCCCAAGTTGTCACAGAGTGCATTACACACAGGGTTCAGGAGTGCATTATACACGGGGTTCAGACGTGCATTACACACGGGGTTCAGGAGTGTATTACATACAGGGTACAAAATTCAGGAGTGCATTACACACAGGGTTCAGGAGTGCATTACACATGGGGTTCAGGAATGCATTACACACAGGGTTCAGGAGTGTATTACACACAGGGTACAAAGCTCAGGAGTGCATTACGCACAGGGTACAAAGTTCAGGAGTGCATTACGCACAGAAGGCAGGGCTCAGGAGTGTACTAAGCATGCAGTGAAGGGTTCCGGAGTCCATTATGCACAGGGTGCAGGGTTCAGAACTGCATTACACACAGGGTGCAGAGTTTGGGAGTGAATTATGCACAGAGTACAGTGTTCAGGAGTAGTAAAATTATATTTGTTTGGCACAGTAAATGTACAATTTATAGTGTTCCGAGTGCAGGGTTCAGGGGTGCATTACCCACAGGGTGTAGGGTTAAGGACTGCATTGCACACAGGGTGAAGGGTTCATGAGTGCAATACACACAGTATGAAATAAAATAAAGTAATTAAATCATAAAACTGACTGCACCTGCCTACATATAGCTAGGGCCCATTCACACAAGAACACAATGCATGTATTTTTAAGCACCGAGGAGCAGTGTCTTAGGCAGCCCATTCAATATAAAAGGGCTGTAACACACCTCAACACACAAGCATGCTGCATTTTTTTCAGATCAGTGCATGGTAATGTACATTACGCATTTTGCTGTGATGTGGTGCAATGCAGCTCAGGCGCATTGTGTTGGTGTGTTAAAGTGGGATTCGAAATAAATGACACAACAGCACCCAAACACACGCACAACATGTCACCACAAACTGCATGTAACAAGCCCTATAACTGCATACACAAAAATACATTGGTTTTCAGGGGAAGATACATGATTGAGATTCGATTCAAAACGAATGGTTGACAATGCGCCAGTGGAAAGAATATGTCCCTATATCAATTTAGCCATGTGGAAAGAATATGTCACTATATCAATATGGCCCAGTGGAAAGAATATGTCACTATATCAGTTTGGCCCAGTGGAAAGAATATGTCACTATATCAATTTGGCCCAGTGGAAAGCAACTGTCCATCTATGGAGTGATAGTTCATCAGGTGAGCTGTGTTTATACAATACCAACAGGCTAAATGTCATTGGCTATGTAATCCATATTGTTTGACAAAGAGACCCTAATGTCTATTGGCAAGCAATGCACATGGATTGCTGCCACTGCACCCATGTCACCAAAGTGATAGTGGCCACTAGTGTCCCAGTTACCTTCAGGCACAGGGCTGCTGGAAGGTGGGAAACTTCTAGAACTAAGGCTACTCTCTCCTAGATAACTAGGATCTGGGAGATGGAAACCTATACGGTGTTGAAACACACATACCAAAGTAAGCCAAGTCCTGCACCGACTCCAGCTGACTCTTGCTGTGACTGATAAAGCAGCCTCACTTCTTCAGAAGCTTCCCTTTCTGTGTGGTATAGAAGTTGTTCTTAAGTCTGTGCTAGCAACAAGACATTGTCTAAGTGGTGTTGTCTTTTTAACACCCTCCTGTATAAATAACCAGATTGCCGTTAAAAGAAACATTGAAAACAGGCTGAAACTGAAATTAGCAAACCGATAATGGTGTGACTGTACACAGAGCAGTGGCTTGGGAGCGAGCCTGCTTGGGTGCCCCCATAGCAAGCTGCTTGCTCTGGGGGCACTTGACAGGAAGGAGGGGTCAGGAGTGCCGACGGAGGACCTGAGAAGAAGAGGTTCGGGATGCTCTGTGCAAAACCACTGCACAAAGCAGGTAAGTATAACATGTTTATTATTGTTTAAAAATCCTTTAATATCACTTTAATTTCTTCCATGAACAGGAAGGTGGAGATGTCCGTCTTCAGGTATCTAATGATTCTTTTCAGCAAGCTCCAGTAACTCCGATCATTGTAGAAAATCTACTACGGTTTTTTAAAAAAAAAAGTTGAACGATGGTAAAGTCAAACCCTCCAAGCTGGTCCCCCAGCTCCTCTAAGGATGAAATCTCTGAAGAATCAGGATCCTAGATTGCTAAAGAAAGAGAATGAGAGATGTTCTACTTATTCTGATGGTGAGGGAAGAGGTGAAGCTACATTCACAAGTGTCAAAGTTGCTGAAAACTCTTGCAAGTATTGCAGAGGACCTTTCCTATGAGAGCTATAACCTCTCTGTTGTCTATGTCTTTTTCTCTTGCTGCTTCCATCAGGCAGTTTTCACATACGCATATGCCTGTTAAAGCCGAACTAGGACATTTGCCATTTTCAGGTACTTGGGCTTGCGCAACAGTAATTGGTGACTGAGACCACAACACTTTTGGAAATTGTGATCTCCCATAAGGGCTGCTTCAGGACTTTGATGATTTATAGTTTTATGAGCTCCCTTTCTTAGGTGCATGCTTAGACTTGTGTCCAGACCCAGAGGAGGTAAGTAAGAGAAACAAAATATGATATCACCATCCATTTACCCACTTGCTGGCTGATATATGTATTAAAATGTCCTGTCACTAATCCTAATACATTTTTTTTTCAGCCAGTGATTGGTTGCTAGAAAAAGGTAATCCTGGTCGCTTGACTGCTTTTACAGCGCTGGAGAGCCCTCCTCCCTCTGTTGCCTACAATGGTTACCAAGCTCCCCTGTCCCTCCAGGGAGCCCAGGACTACAGTAAATGGTGGACACAGCTTTCTTCAGAGGAGATAGAGGAACATCTGTTCCCAGATCTCCTTTGTGATGAATGACGCTGCAAGTAGAGAGGATTTAGTCACTTCTGTAGTCACAGCTGTCATTCCCTGGCTCTTCCAGCCAGGGAAGCAGGTGATCAAACATGATCTGTTTGCTACTTTGAAGAGCAAAGGAAACATCAGGGGTCTAACAAGTCCCTGATGTCTCTATAAAGAGTAACTATCACAAGAGGGCTTTATCACCTTAAATTAAAAATAATATTAAAAAAATAATAATTTTTTTTTTTTTAATTTCACATTGCATGTCTGTAACATTATTTGCACCTGCACATTAGCTTACAACACATATACACTGTGCCCCAGTAGCCAGGGCCCCAAATTCAAGTATGCATTCCAGCAGGCTTGTGCCTGCACTGCGTCTGCATACACAAAATACTTTGGAGGAGGGAAACAGAGGATCACTGTCTCTGGGAAGGCTGTTCAACCTACTGGTATGTAATCTTGGTGAATGTATGTATGTATTTTTGTATATTTGAAATTCGAATGTCAGAAGACGGGTGTATTCTTTCTATTCCTTTCTATTCTATTGCTTTCTATTCTTTTATTTTATTTTCTATTCTATCCTATTAAGTTTTATTTTATTTTATTTTTGAAATTCAAGTTTCAGAAGACTGATATATTACATACAGTCTTTGAAGGAAATCAGCAATAGTCAGCAATATGTTTACATTTCAAATTTGTTTTCAAATTTGATTTCATTTTCAAATTCATATCGAATTGTATTTAAATTAAGATAATTCGTTATTTCAGACAAAATGTTGTGTTTTTTTGGATGTGTTTAAATTAGTTAATATTGTAATTTGGAAATTCGGACACATCTGAATCTCCGAATAATGAAAATGTCATCCAAATTTTTCAATTCAGAACAAAACTAACATGTCTAATGGTCAATTAAATTTACATAGTTACACTGGTGGTTCTTTGAAAGTAATACCAAGATTAAATACATAGGTGGTCAGTGGAAGCAGATGAAGTAAGTGTTCTAATACAAAAAAAAATTGCATTATTGCAGATACTACAGTATGAGTAGGAGGTTTGTGGCAAAAGTCAGTAAAGGTGAATTAGCCCTTTATACAGGCAATGATCAGAGACTGCAGACCTACTACAGGAGATGACCCAATACAGGAGACGACCAGAGACTGCAGACATAATATAGGAGATGGTCAGAGACTGCAAAAAACTACAGGAAACAAACAGAGACTGCAGACATACTACAGGAGATGGTCAGAGACTGCAGACATGGTACAGGCGATGGCCAGAGACTGCAGACATGGTACAGGGACAGCCAGTGACTGCAGACACGGTACAGGAGATGGCCAGAGACTGCAGACTTGGTACAGGAGATGGCCAGAGACTGCAGACATGGTACAGGAGATGGCCAGAGACTGCAGACATGGTACAGGAGATGGCCAGAGACTGCAGACATGGTACAGGAGATGGCCAGAGACTGCAGACATGGTACAGGAGATGGCCAGAGACTGCAGACATGGTACAGGAGATGACCAGAGACTGCAGATATTGTACAGGAGATGGCCTGAGACTGCAGAAATACTACAGGAGATGGAGAGAGACTGCAGACATAACTCAGGAGATGGTCAGAGACAGCAGACATAACACAGAAGACAATCAGAGAGTGCAGACATAACACAGGAGACGGTCAGAGACTGCAGACATAACACAGGAGACGATCAGAGAGTGCAGACATAATACAGGAGACGGCCAGAGAATGTAGACATGATACAGGAGACAGTAAGAGACTTCAGACATAATACAGAAGACAGAGACTGCAGACATAATATAGGAGACTGTCAGAGACGGCCGGCATACTACAGGAGATGGTCAGAGACTGCAGACATACTACAAGAGATGGTCAGACATGGTAAAGGACATGGCTGGAGACTGCAGACATGGCACAAGAGATGGCCAGAGACTTCAGACATATTACATTAGACAGTCAGAGACCGCAAACATATTACAGGAGATGGCCAGAGGCTGCAGACACACTACAAGAGGTGGCCAGAGGCTGTAGACACTACAGGAGATGACCAGAGGCTGTAGACACGCTACGTGAGATGGCCAGAGGCTGCAGACAGGCTGCAGACATAGTGCAGGAGATGGTCATAGATATTCTGGCATTAAGTGTATAGAGATCAGGGTGGGAATAGCACCTGATGCATGGACACCAGGCAGGAACACTCAGCCTGGCTGGTATAGATTTAAAAAGAGTGACACACTTAGGCTAGGTTCACACCTATGCAGGTTGCATTTGAGCAGTTTCTGCATTGCGTTTTGTACCTGCATTTTTTGCGTGTTTTTGCAGCGTTTGTGATACGTTTTTTTTTTTCTTGTTTCTACGCAGATTTAAAACGCAGCAAAAATGCACTACATGCTTTTCTGCAGTGTTTCCACTATGTTCAAATGTACCATGTACCCCATACTCATTCATATGGGGGCCCCCTTGTTAAAAGGAGCTTCCAGATTCCAATAAGCCCCCTGCCCGCAGTCTCCCAAAACCACAGGCCAAGGTTGTGGGGAAGAGGCCCTTGTCCCCATCAACATGGGGACAAGGTGCTTTTGAGGGGAGCCCCCCTGCCCCAAAGCACACCCGTCATGTTCAGGGCATGTGACCTGGTATGGTTCAGGGTGGGGGGGGGGCGCCCGCTCTCCACCCCCCTCCTTTCCAGACCTTCCGGGCTGCATGCTTGGATAAGGGTCTGGTATGAATCTTGGGGAGACACTCCACGCGTTCGTTTTTTAATTTTTTAACTGCCGGCAATTCTTTTTACATTCAGCTGTCAGCCCCCGCTGACAGTTGAAACATTAACCACTAGCCCTTCTGAGGATTTACCTGACCAGGCCATTTTTTGCGATATGGCGCTGCATTACTTTAACTGTAACTTGTAAACAAAAAAGACTGACTATTTTGAGAAAAAAAAAAACAATATTTCTGACATTTTGCTATAAAACATATCCAGTAAAAAAATTTAAAAAAATCTAATTTCATCATAAATTTAGGCCAAAATGTATTCTGCTACATATCTTTGCTAAAAAAAATCCCAATACGTGTAAATTAATTGGTTTACGTATAAGTTATAGCAGTATAGATACTGGAAATTTTTTTCCCTTATATTAGTAATGGCAGCGATTAGCGACTTATAGAGGGACTACAGGACTGCGGCGGACATTCTGACACTAGGTAGAACTAACTGCCACTGACATCCCCACTGACTAATACAGTGATCAGTGCTAATAAAAAGCACTGACACTGTACTAATGGCACTGGGCAGAAAGAGCTTAACATCTGGGGCGATCAAAGGGTTAACTGTGTGCTGTTTTACTGTATGTGCTTAAGTAGGGAGACATGCTGCTTTGTATTGCTCTGCTATAGCAGTATGTTGGTACTGACAGGGAAGAGATCTGTATTGTTTACATACAGACCTTTCCCCTTTCACTGTTCCTCTGCAATCGCCAGGTGTCGGCGGGGAATCTCTGGCCGGGACCCGGTGATCTGTAGCAGCCAATGGCGGCGCGCGTGCGTGCGTGCCCCCTACCTGGCAATGCAAAATCATGTATGTATGTATATATATATATATATATATATATGTGATTTTGCACAGCCCTGCCATCCTGTAGCAGTAGTTCTGCTGCTATAGGGTGGCAGAGAACCGGTTAAAGAATGTTTTTACTACTAAAATACTGCATGAATTAATAATATAACTCATGCAGTATTTTAGTAGCTGTGAGGTATCTTACCACATACTGTACTTGTTAGGTTCGAATGTTTGACCGCAAACCTAACAGGATTGTGTTTGGCCCATCACTACTAGAAACAATGTGAACAAAAGTAATGTGCTAGAAGTCCATAGAAGAGAAAGAGTCCCAATTCCATGTGGATACAGAGAGTGCCTGCTCACACATCGTCTTATCAGAATTCAGCAGCAAATGATGCCAATTCCACTACTGCAAGTGCGCCACCCCACACAGTGCCCAATGGGAGATTACCAGATTGACTTGACTCTAGTCAAAAACAGCTTTGTAATGAATGAGCAGCTCCGCAGGACATGATAAAAAGGTTTGGATCAGAAGAGCAAAAAAAAAAAAGAGTGTCTATTCTTTGCATTTCTGGCCTGGATATGTTGTGAATTTGTGGCTGACATTGGAGATTGTGGAGTTACTTACTGCAGCATGCCTGGATGATTGCAGTAGAGGGATCTTCATTACAAAGCTGTTTTAGACCACTACGTAATTTGAGGGTCTAGCCAATCTGGTAATCTCCCATTTGGCACTGTGTGGGGATGCGTACTTGCACAAGTGGAACTGACATAATTTGCTGCTAAATTCTAATAAAACGATGTGAGCAGGCACTCTCTATATCCAGATAGAATTGGGGCTCTCTTTCTTTTCTATGAACTTCTAGGGCATAGATATTACTTTTGTTCACACTGTTTCTAGCATTAGATGCATATAATACACTTTGAACAGGTAATATCTGGAATGGCACTTTTAAGTGAAAACTTTTCACAGGAAATTTAACACATATCTTTTGTTGAATATATGGGATATACTTTGTGTGAAGATATCTTGGATTACACTATAAAATTTTTGACATTATCTAATTATTGATGCCCTGCATATTTTAGGAAAAAAATACCAGCAAATAAAACTTTTAGTGACTTAATTAAAAGAAAAAAAAAAAAAAAACCCACACAGACCTCCCTCCAAAGTTCCTCCCCACAATACACAACAGACCCTTAGGGGGTCTGCCATGTATTTTGAGGGACTTTTGAGGTCTGAGTGCCACTTTTTCCTTAAAAAAAAAAATGTCTGGAGGGAGATGTAATTTGCTAATGTAAAGCTCTTTTTTCCTTTGTAAATACCAGTGCTTAAAAAGACAGTTTTTGCTCCCATTAATCACAATGAAAAACAAACCAAAAAAAAGCAGAGCAAACCTTAAGCTACTTTCACACTGATCCTCTGCAAAAACGCCTCAGAAACGCATAGGTATTTTTACAGCGTTTTTTTAAAAGGACACGTGACTTAAAACTGTACCAAAAACACTTCTCAGAGATGTTTATGAGGCATTTTTCAGGCAGTTTCCATTGATTTCAATTAGAAGAGGCGTTTTTCCTTGGATTTCAATGGGAAGAGGCGTTTTTTCCTTTGATTTCAATGGGAAGAGACGTTTTTCCTTTGATTTCAAAGGGAAGAGGCAATTTTCCGTTGATTTAAATGGGAAGAGGCGTTTTTCCTTTGATTTCAATGGGAAGAGGTGTTTTTCCTTTGATTTCAATGGGAAGAGGTGTTTTTCCTTTGATTTCAATGGGAAAAGGCATTTTTCCTTTGATTTCAATGGAAAGAGGCGTTTTTCCTTTGATTTAAATGGAAAGAGGCGTTTTTCCTTTGATTTCAATGGAAAGAGGCGTTTTTCCTTTGATTTCAATGGAAAGAGGCGTTTTTCCTTTGATTTCAATGGGAAGATGCGTTTTTCCTTTGATTTCAATGGGAAGAGGCGTTTTTCCTTTGATTTCAATGGGAAGATGCGTTTTTCCTTTGATTTCAATGGAAAGAGGCGTTTTTGTTTTTTTTTAACTCCCCAAACATGCCCCACAGATATTGCAAGCAGGAGTTTTTTTTCACACCACACTGCAAGCTCAATGCCTCAGTTTGAAAACATACATAGATATACAATTACATATATAAGGAGCAGTTTTCTTGAGCTTTTCAGGCGACAGCATTGTTGTATATATTGGGAATCCACAAGCCGGAAAGTAAAGAGGCTGACCACAATAATATTAGATAAATAAAAGTCCCAAATATAATAAAATCAATCAATGCGTTCAGAGCATGCATTGCCCATCTTTAGGAGTTGGTGAATATTAAACAAAAACATAAACTTCTACATTCAAAACCATTAAAATGACACAACCCCCCCTGTGATGGATTCAACAAGGAAAACCTGACAATTAACCTTGGTTATTCCAAAACACATTGAGGTAAGTTTCGGCTGACCATCAAGCCTTTGTCAGCATTCATTATCAAAAAGTTTTGCGATCAGCATAAACTATATCAAAAGTAATCCATTGAACATCCACAACATAAATACTAAGTGTATAGATTATCATCTTGAGGAACTAATTGCTATTCTAACACCAATTAATATATAAATATATAATATATAAATCTGGAACCAATAAAATGGCAAAACCCACTGTAATGAAAAAAGAACACCTGGTAGTCAACCCTGGTTATTGTCAACCACATTAGAATGAACATAAATACCCTTGATAGCTTTCACCATCAAAGAGTGTGTGAAGAGTCAGTACTATATAAATAATATATCAAAAGGTATTCCCTAAAAATCCCCATTAAAATACTAAATTAGGACTCATCCTTTTGGTGCATTGATCACGCAAATAGCTGGATGCTGTTTAACACCACTCCATGGTTCTAGGGTTGCATTAGAGAAAGGATGAAATACATCATAAATTATGTCAAAAGAAAATTCACCCACTGTCCATATTATACAAGATAAATATGTGCGCCTATCATTATAGGAGAACTAAATAATAAACACCTGGCTGCTGTGCTGACACAGGGGAGGCATTGCAGTGGGAATTAAATTGGTCATAACTATATAAAAAATAACCATCCCTGCTATAAAAATGATAAATATGGGCTATCATCTTGGAAAACTAGTTAAACACCCGACTGCTGTTGTATCCATAGTGCAGCGGTGATAATGAAATTGGATGTAAATTATATTAAAAAAAACTTCAATAATCATCCATACTAAGGTGTACATTTAATAAACTGTGAAATGCAGGTGATAATTTGTGATAACCCTTTTCATAGCTAATCACAGTAATAATGTCTTGGAGAGGTGTTTAATAAACTGTGACAATTAAGGTAGGAAATAAATATCTTGTTTCTTCTCTTTAACCACTTGAGCCCCAGAGGATTTTCCCCCCACTTAATGACCAGGCCTTTTTTTGCTGTTTGGCGCTGCACTAATTCAAATGATAATTGCGCGGTCATGCAATGCTGTACCCAAACAAAATTTATGTCCTTTTTTTCACACAAATAGAGCTTTCTTTTGGTGGTATTTGATCACCTGTGCGCTTTTTATTTTTTGCGCTATAAACAAAAAAACCACGAAAATTTTGAAAAAAAAACATTTTTCTACTTTCAGCTATAAAAATATATATCGTATACTCAAAGTTAGTCATAAATTTAAGCCAAAATGTATTCTGCTACATGTTTTTTGGTAAAAAAAAATCCCAATAAGTGTATATTTGATTGCTTTGTGTGAAAGTTATAGCGTCTACAAAACTATCGTATAGATGCTGTAATTTATGCCTTTTTTTGCTATACAGCGCTGCACTAATTCAAATGATAATTGCACGGTCATGCAATGCTGTACCCAAACGAAATTTACGTCCTTTTTTTCACACAAATAGAGCTTTCTTTTGGTGGTATTTGATCACCTGTGCGCTTTTTATTTTTTGCGCTATAAAAACAAAAAAAAACCACAAAAATTTTGAAAAAAAACAATATTTTCTACTTTCAGCTATAAAAAATTATATCGTAAACTCAAAGTTAGTCATAAATTTAAGCCAAAATGTTATTCTGCTACATGTTTTTGGTAAAAAAAAATCCCGTGCATTAGCGGGCAAACTGGCGCTATCTAGGAGAGGGGCGCTAACACTATCGGAAAGTCACCGTGGACACTAATACAGTGATCAGTAAAAAATCTGTTCACTGTAATCAATGACACTGGTGACAGGGCAGTGAAGGGTTTTAACTGGGGGGGGGGAAGGGGGCGATCAAGGGGTTAAATGGGAGATTTTGGTGCACTAGCGGGCAAACTGGCACTATCTGGGAGGGGCACTAACTCTATCGGAAGTCGCCGGCGACACTGATACAGTGATCAGTAAAAATTGGTTCACTGATCATTGACACTGGTGACAGGGCAGTGGAAGGGGTTAACTGGAGGGGGGGGTGATCAAGGGGTTAAAAACGGGATTACTGGTGTACTGGCGGGCAATCTGGCGCTATTCTGGGAGGGGCGCTAACACTATCGGAAGTTCGCCAGCGAGATCACTGATACAGTGATCAGTAAAAATTGGTTCACTGATCAGTGACACTGGTGACAGGGCAGTGAAGGGGTTAACCTGGGGGGGTGAGTGATCCCGAAGGGGTTTTTTAGGGTTTTTTTGGTTAAACGGGAGATTACTGGTGTATATGGCGGGCAAACTGGCCCTATCTGGGAGGGGCGCTAACACTATCGGATAGTCGCCAGCGACACTGATACAGTGATCAGTAAAAATTGCTTCACTGATCAGTGACACTGGTGACAGGGCAGTGAAGGGGTTAACTGGGAGGGGGGGCGCGATCAATGGGGTTAAACGGGATTACTGGTGTCTACTGGCGGGCAAACTGGCACTATCTGGGAGGGGCGGCTAACTCTATCGGAAGTCGCCAGCGACATGATACATTGATCAGTAAAAACATTGGTTCACTGATCAGTGACACTGGTGGACAGGGCAGTGAAGGGGTTAACTCATGGAGGGGGGGGGTTATCTCTAAGGGGTTTCTCCCGCCCCCCTCCGTTCTTCTAATACGGGATTACTGGCCCCATGTACTGGCGGGACGAATTCTGGTGCTATCTATCCCGGGAGGGGCGCGCTAACTCTATCGGGAAGTCGCCAGTAGAGATCGAAGCGAAGTTTCAAAAATTCGATTCGACTGATTCGGCGAATTCGTGGAAAAATTTTTGATTCGAGTCGAATATATTCGCTGTGAATTTAACTTAAAAAAGGGTGTTTCTAGGCTTCAGAGAGACTTAATATTAGTGCAGAACACTGTACCTTTAATTTAAATGCCCTTGGAGTCTGCTGGGGAAGAGAAATAATACTGTCAGTCAGTATGACATGCAGATGAGTGCCGTCGATCTTAGAATCACCGCACACTTCACTCATTTGGGCAGTCACGGGGCCAAAACCAGAGTGTGGAGCCACAAGTGTGTGTGGCGGTGGAGGCAGCAGCAATGGGAGGCCATACAGCACCCTATGACAAAAATGGAAACCACCAGCAGTGTGAGGAGACCTGAAAGTGGCACATGGCAGAGTGTGGCGATAGAGACAGCAGCAATGGGAGGAGTGCCGTACAGGGACCCATGACACACTCTGGACCTGGCAGCAGCATGAGGAGGCGGTACAGGGGGCCCATGACAGATTACGGGCCTGGCAGCAGCATGAGGAGTCGGTACGGGGGCCCCATGGCAGATTACGGGCCTGGCAGCAGCAATGGGAGGCCGTACAGGGACCCATGACACAATCTGGACCTGGCAGCAGCATGGGGAGGCGGTACAGGGGCCCATGACAGATTACGGGCCTGGCAGCAGCATGAGGAGTCGGTACGGGGGCCCATGACACACTCTGGACCTGGCAGCAGCATGAGGAGGCGGTACAGGGGCGCATGACAGATTACGAGCCTGGCAGCAGCAACTTGGACAGGAGGACGTTCAGCTTCTGCACCGTCTGGTGCGTGCTCGCAAACTGTTGTCTCTTGGAAACGGATTCCAAGAAAGACTGCTGACGGAATCCGTTGAAGAGGAGTAGCAGGAGAAGGAGCATCTGAACGAGCGGAATATGCCAACAAGCGACAACAGGGGCCCATGACAGATTACGGGCCTGGCAGCAGCATGAGGAGTCGGTACGGGGGCCCATGGCAGATTAGGGGCCTGGCAGCAGCTATGGGAGGCCCGTAATCTGCCAGCACCCTATGACAAAAAATGGAACCCACCAGCAGTGTGAGGAGACCTGAAAGTGGCACATGGCAGAGTGTGGCGATGGAGACAGCAGCAATGGGAGGCCGTACAGGGACCCATGAGGAGACTCTGGACCTGGCAGCAGCATGAGGAGGCGGTATAGGGGCCCATGGCAGATTAGGGGCCTGGCAGCAGCTATGGGAGGCCCGTAATCTGCCAGCACCCTATGACAAAAAATGGAATACACCAGCAGTGTGAGGAGACCTGAAAGTGGCACATGGCAGAGTGTGGCGATGGAGACAGCAGCAATGGGAGGCCGTACAGGGACCCATGAGAGACTCTGGACTTGGCAGCAGCATGAGGAGGCGGTATAGGGGCCCATGGCAGATTAGGGGCCTGGCAGCAGCTATGGGAGGCCCGTAATCTGCCAGCACCCTATGACAAAAAATGGAACACACCAGCAGTGTGAGGAGACCTGAAAGTGGCACATGTTTGGGGCATGATTCATGGCGGATTTAGTCAGTTGTGTCAGGAACTGGTGGTTTGAAATCCAGACTAATCCACGCCTGATTCATTTTCACAAACGTCAGTCTCTCCACACTTTGGGTGGACAGTCGTGTCCTCCGCGGAGTTGCAATACCTCCTGCCGCACTAAACACGCGCTCCGATGCCACGCTACTGGCCGGGCATGACAGCCTTTCAAGGGCAAATTCAGCTAGTTGGGGCCAAAGGTCAAGTTTCGTTGCCCAGTAGTCAAGGGGATTGTCTACCTCGGTTGGCAGGGTGCTGTCCAAGTAGGCCTAAGCCTGTTGTTTGAGGTCTGCTCCAGGTCCACCTGATGCTGCTGCTGCTGCTGCGGCTGGGTTAGTAGTTCCTCACTGCGCTGGTGAAGAAAGCTACTCATCATCGACTGCAGACTGAGGCAGCCGCTGCTGGTGGCGAGTTGCCACTGCTCCTACCACCCCACCCCTCCCCTGCTGCCATTTTGGGTCCAAGCGGATACGCTTGTGAGCGCACAGGGCCCACAGTGTCCTGAGGAAGGAAGTTGGCGCAGACAGGCAGAGACCAGCTTGACTACATAGGTGGTTTTTCACCATTTTTGAACGGTAGCGAGGGTCCAACAAGGTGGACAGCCAAAAGTCATCCCTCTGTCTGATGGTTATTATTCGGCTGTCGCTACGCAAGCAACCGAGCATGCTATGGGCCATTTGTGCCAAGGAATGCGAGGGACTCCCTGCCTCCATCTCCACAGCATACTGCCACGGTGCGTCTGGGTCCTCTGTCTCCTCCTCCTCCTCCTCTACCAGATGCTCCTGCTCCTCCACTCCTGTCCGCTGAGTGGAAAAACCACCCATTTCACTCAATAATTCCTGAGCACCAATGTCCTCCTCTACCTCCTCCTCTTCTTCCTGTCCTGCCCCCACAGGGGTCATGTGGCGTTGAGATCTGTGCGCCACGTCTACCGCACCCTGACCAGCCATTGTTAACAGCATTTGTTCCAGGAGTGCAACAGAGGAATGACGTCGTTCATCCCATAGTCCTGCCGACTCACGAATAGCGTGGCCTCCTCAAAGGGCCTGAGCAAGCGCAG